ATTAGTATCTTTTGTCTCCCATATACTGTGGGTTTCAGTCAATAATATTCTATACACAGAAAGGTCAAATGGGATAGGAGACACAAATGGTGAATAGGACCTGCATTTATGTTGTTCTCCATGATTAATGCAGAATGATTGCGCAGTCAAAATGACTTTTCAAATTTGGGGGGGTATTTTTAGTGGTTGATACATGATAAAATCGTGACAGCAGCATTTTGACTGTGGTTTATTAAGATGGCATTGCATGCAATCAGTGCTTGGATTCATCTGTGCTGCCTCTGAAGCAGCGTGAGGGTGCAGGATCTGTCCCATGATACTGATTTTCACTTTGTGCTTCACTTCCCTTTCCCTTAACATTGATTCTGTGCTGAATCTGGACTACTCCAAGGACCTCTTAACAATAGTTTCATCATAATATATACCTCTCTACAACAACTGCCTTTAAAGAACATTGCAATACACATGGTTTACTACAAACAGACAGTAATATTATAGGATATACGATTTGAAAGTTGCAGCTAAATTTAGTCTTTTTTTCCAAATCAGGTGTACTCTTTTGCATTCAGACAGTATTCAAACGCAGGCTAATTGTGTTGTTCATATTACTTTGATGAAATGAGTGTTGTTCAGAGTGCCAACCCTTCCCAGCAATAATTAAGTGACTTCCCTCCAATAACGTGGCAAAAACGGTAAGGAAAGTGCAATGCAACTATAAAACGAAGAACAACAGTGGTGGTAGAAGCTCTGCTCCTCTTAGCGAGACTTCCCTATTGTGGTGTTGAAAAGCTGAGGCCTGACATGTAGCCAGCAGAAAATTAATTTCTTGCATGTCCACTACTTTTCTGGCAGAAGTGAATTGCAAACTGCTTATCCAACTCGCCGGAGCACCCTCACACAGCCTTCTATCAGGCTTCAGCAGCTCAGAGCTTTTCAATAAACAGCAGCCAAGAGAGCACATTACACTTGATCGAAAAACAACGACAAAGTGTGAGGAAAATGAATGCAGAGACTGTAGTTAGCTTCTCATTTGGCTAAGAACACACAGAGAGGCACTAACAAACACCATATGCTTTACCTGGCCAAGCACGATGGCCCATAACTAAATGGCTGACAACAGACACAATTTGTTAATGCAGCCACTCAAACAAAGATGATGTGCCCCCTCACGAGAAGTTTCTTATTGCAAAGTTACCTCTGAAGTACAGCTAATGTGGTCTAGTTCTCAACACTATTAGTCTCTGAAAAGATCTCTCTGTGAGCAGAGTATTACTATAGAGAATTTATTATGTTAGCTTCCAACAGTATTTAGCATCATTCACAGATAGAAAAAAAAATATATATTGAAAAAGTTAATCCCAATGCAGTGTATTCATAAGAGCATAATACCTGAAGGTGTGTGCCTTGTTTCCGCACACCATTACAGTTTTAACTGGTAACTACAGTTGGCAATGTAAAAAAATACTTAAATGCCTTGTTTTTCAAGCTGACTAAAGAAATAAGATTATACTCAAGCAATGGGACAAAAGGGTCTCTATCCATCAGAGAGCTGCAGGTCTTTGTCCATCCTCCCCTGGATAGCTATAGTGAGCAAACTGAATTCTGATGGACAGCCAAGATATGCAATCTGAATCATACTACACAGCTGATGCTACCTACTCTTCGTTCCCTTTTTTTAAAAAGTTTCTTAAACTAGTTCCACATAGGAAGAAATTAAGGTAAACCCTTTTCAATAACACAAATGTATTTTTTGTAATTAAAAGCCATACAACAAGCACCGACAAGCTCCGGTCAGCATAATATAGATTATGCTGTTCAAACATTTTGCCATTCACTACCTCCAGCAAAAAGCTGCAGGAGAGGAGAAGAAAAAAATTCCCTTCCCCCATCACTTCATACTCTACTGCACTATACCACTTGTGGATTCATACCTGGAAATTTACTTATTTATTTTTAATCCCCTGGCCCTGGCCACACGCCCTAATGTTTTTATTCCTTCAAGACCACAACATATTCAAATCAAGTGTAAAAAAATATTTAAAAACATTTAGCAGAATTGATTTTTTTTAACCCTTCCATTAACACAATCAATCAAAAGTGTAAAGGTTAGGGAAAAAAATGACCCAGAGTCCTTGCCTTGAAAATATTGTTTTTCTCCAAAAAAGTAAATGTTTTCTCAGTCCCTCATTCACTTTGCAACTCTTACTTGCCTGTGGAGAAGCAGTATGTTTCATGCTCCCTATGATGAGATGAAAATGTTGTAAGGCAGTTTTTCTAACCAGATTCATGTGATCTTTGGACTAGCTGTTTTGTTACCTGTTCATTAAATTTTGTCCTTCTGTGAGCAAACATGACATTAATAACTTTTCGGATAGCTCACAAACGAGTATCTCAGCATTCCAGGTCCCGGTCCCACAGACACCCCAGTCATGATTAACCTTACACAAGCATGTGAAGCAATGGGGCTCCTCCCAGGCATAACGTTACTACCACTTGGGGCTTACGCTAGCATTAGGGAGTTCAGGCTGAGCGGGGCTCAATTTTAAGCAATTACAGCAATGTTTTAAAGTGCGAACATAAATAAAATGGCTCAAATGCTATTTTTGCCAAAAGCAGCATTTACTAGCCAGAAAATATTCATTCCTTTGCTGCATGACACAGCAGAGTTTTTCTTGTAGTGTTACTAAACCAGAATTAGGTTGGTTTCCCTGTATAACTAATTTTGAACATAAACATGTGGGGACAAGGTCCCAGGTATTTACATCCCTAGATCTGTAGCTTTTACTTCCATGAACAGAGTAAGCTTCCTGAAACAGAGGAAGTATTGTGGAAATGTGTAAACAGACCAACCACTCTACAGAGTTTCACTGGCACAGCCCATTGCCTTTAGAACACACTTCTATTTGGAGGAGAAATGCTAACTTTTTTATTCAATTTTTTCTCTGCCCCTCTCTAAAGTATAGGCTTAAATGCTGGAGTATAAATTCAGATACTACGACTTACTATTTCAGCAATGTCTTAAAATAACAGTATTTGAGAATTAAGCAATGCAGGCATCATTCTAAAGTTTCCTATGTCAGTGCAATTCCAGTGTGTAGGTACCTTCCACAGTGTAGGTACAATCAGATTCAGGCATTTTGCCCTTAAAAGTAGTAATAGCTGGTGCTATACTCAGAGTTCACACCACACTCAGCATGTCTACACATGCATTTAATGTGCAGTAACTTAGTTCACAGTAAGCAGTTTTTAGACCAGCGTTTACACATGTAGGTGTTACAGCACACTAATACTGTGTATGCACTGATTTGGGAGTAAAGTTACTCTCAAGTCAGTCCACACAAACAGGGCTCCTGCACAACAAGGCGTCTACACATGCTTTACTGTGCAGTAACTACTCAGGAGTAAATTTGCTACCTGCATCGTGCAAGGACAGTAACTATGGCAATTTATGCCAACTCGGGAGCAAATCTGCATGATACAGGTAGCAAATTTACTCCCGAGTTGGTGTAAGTCACCATGGTTACTGCACAGTACTGGCACGCACATGTAGACGCATGACTATACTGCACAGTAATTTTCAGTTACTGCACAATAACATAAGTTACAGTGTAGTAATGGTGTACCTGTAGACATGCCCACTGAGTAATGATGAAAGCCACTTCAATGCAACACTTTTTCAGTTTTAGTGCTGTGATGTAACAAGGATAATAGTAATGTGGTCCTGCCCTTCCTTCTCTCCCACTTAGATTTTATTCTTTGCCATAATAGGGTAAGGGAAGCCCCAAGAACTTGTTTTTGCACAACATGGAATTTCCCTTCCAGCAGCAGCACAATGAGGGGGCTGAGTGCTTGGGGCAGCTGCCACACACAGAAGCTGTGGCAACTTCTGGTGCCTATGCCATCAGCAAGGCCATCCAGGGGGACAGAGGGGATGCTGCCTCAGGCCCCATGCTTTGGGGGGTCCCTGCAAAGCTGGGCCGGCTTCATGTCCAGCCACTTGCTCCCCCAACCCCCCGCTGCTGTGTCCAGGCCCTGCACAGGCTGATTTGCCCCAGGCCCCCCACACTGTTATGGTCATCTCTGGCCATCAGCGTGATTGTGGCCACAGATAAACTTGAAAAAACCCCAAAACAGCACTTTACTGGAAGAGGAAGCATATTAGTTTCACCCAGCACCCTTAATAGCTTTTATTTAATAGCTCATTCAATCGGTTATTAAATAAAAGCACCAAAAAGCACCAAAAAGCCCCCCTGAAGTGCCCAATCTATACAGATGTTGGGTGAGCCAGGTCAAACTACTGCAATGCCTCTTCTGGGCACGCACTGCGCTTGGTACGGAGGTGCGCTGAGCTGGAAGTAAAGCACAGGGGTTTTTTTGCATCTGTAAGGAACCCGTGTGGCTGTGGCAGCACCAGTTCCCCTCCCCGCCCCACTTCTCCTTGGCCCCTAGGTCAGTGGCCAGGGCAGCTCTTCCAGTCACCCAGCCTTGGTTATACCACTGCCCTCAAGAAATGTTTAAATCATATAATCTTGCTATGAAACTAAATGACAACTCAGCTTTTTTATTTTTAAGCAAATAATCTTTCTGTAGCCATTCACATCTACCTTATTTCCTCTCAGTATTAAGGTTGTGTTTATGAACTTCTTATCTGCTTCATGGCAGAATATCAAGCAACATTTCTGCTACAACCAAAAGCTTCTTCTTGCAGGGAACTTACCACAGAACAACACACTCTTGAGATGAGTTTTGGCTCTTATGCAAGCGTGAAGTTCCCCCCAACCCCAACGTAATTTGAAATGTATTTTCCAAGAACAGAGCTTCAATAGAGAAAACAGACACAAACAATATAATAATGACAACGTAATGATACTCTATTCTGGAGGCAATGTTCAAAAGAAAGTGGGGTAAAGAAGACTGACTCACTTTCTTTTATACAAAAGAGAAAAATTGCATGTGGAACACATCATAAAAACTATATATAGACAGACTGCATTTCTTACCATGTCACCGGGCTTGACAGAAACAGCCACCACTGCTCCAGGCATCGGTGATCTCAAAATGCTAGTCGTGTCCTCCTCTGCTTTCTCTGGCATGTACTTACTCAACTCTGCAGCAAGCTGGGTCAGTATTCTTAACTTGTACTTAAGGAAAGAACAGTAGGAGAAATGTTTTAGACCACTTAACTCTGCAACTCTGATGAACACTTTGATATTATTTATTTTTAAAAAATCATGCATTATTTTTGACAACTACAGACATGTTTTTGTATTGTATGCCATGCTACTACACAGAATTGTCTAAAATATACTAAGTTTAGAATGGCTGTCAAAAATTCCATTACCTGGATATAAAAAAAGAAAAGAAATATACAAGTAAATCTAAAGTTGCAAGACCAAGTAACTAAAAAGACAGTATCAAATTAAAAATCAAGTTCAAATTTCAGGTTCAAGAATAAAGGTTTTTGAGTTTGTTTTATATCCCTGTAGCCTACCAAATACTATTCCAAGTGATCCTGGAGTACTTACATTCCACATACACATCATTATAACTAAATGGAATCAGAATTGGCCCCATATCACCAAAACCTCTTCAGATTATTAATAATGAAGCAATTTTAAACTTAATTTTACTATTATTTATTCAGGATTTGCATTTTCCACATCATTCAGCTTTTGCACTGAAAACCAATCAAGCCATTTTTCTTCTATGTTCCCATTTACATGTAGAATGCTGCAATGTTTAGGCTGCAGATAGTTCAGGGAAATGTCTAAATAAAATGAAATATGTTTAACTATTTTTGTCATAAAAAACCAGAAAAAAAGTTATATCTATTATGTTTTTAAAAAATATCTTCAACTCCTCCCTTCTTCCCATGAAAAACGTGGAGCCTGAACTACCTCATAACATCCTTTTACATGAACTTTTTGTAAACATCTGTACTGGTACATCTATTTTCCCCCTCTACTTTAATTCTTTAAAAAAAGTTTGTACACTTTGACAGATCATTCATTGACATTATTAGAGTTTTTCTGTCTCAGTGCATATGAAACTATAGATGGAAATCCAGTAGATGGCAGCAGGTCTCTGTGTGAAACTACTTAATCTCTCACATAAATTTAGAGTTGAAGAACAGAATTGCACTTCATCAATTATTTAAACAAAGCTTTCAATAATAAGTGTTTTAGAGTAAACTGCTTTTAAAATTCAAATCTGCATTTTGATGAACTACAGACAAAACAGCTTACTTTCAACAGTATGTTTTCTATTGAAATAATTAATCCTTTTTTATCCTTATTTATTAGAGGGAATCTCCTTACTTTTCATTTTCATGAAAAACAACAGAGATTTCCTTGCAGTGTGGGTAACGGAAGTCCAACTTTTGCTTTTGCCAAGGGTAAGGCAGGATATTTAGAAAATACAACTGAAAGGTAATGAAGTACGACAGTGCAAGCTTTAAAAAGCAGATTTCTTCAGATAAAACCAAACAATGCAACAGTGGGTTATCAACCTACATGAATATTGCCTGGATACTTGAAACGTGCAGTGAACAGTGTAACCATTTGGCTCTGAACTATGTAAAATTTATGAAAGATGAGTACAATTTACTTGAGCAAAGTAAGATCGCTAAATGTAATAAAATAGTAGCCAGTGAAATTATAGGTACCACCCAAGGACTTTCAGGACTCGAACCAAAATATTTTTTCTTGGGTATAACTGATGCAGCAGCATACATGAGCCAGTACCATTTTATATGCAAAAAGCTGCATTAACTCAAAGCCTCCTACAGTCATTATTAGCATGGTGAGCTCACATTTTCAAAAACAAAGTAAGGTTAGCCATTTACCTCTCGGCCCAAATGACTACATTTCATGCAGTATGCTTCTTGCCATCTCTTTTTTTTTTTTTTTAATAATTGTGTATGTGAGTGTGCGTATGCACGCCTGCGTGTGTGCGTAAAGGAAGGGGGGGATTGTGCCTAGAGCAGATTTGAGAACATAAGCTGCAAGTAGAATTGCGACAATGTGACAGGTCAAATAATAACATCTTATGCATGTTTCTTTACTCTTGAGTGTATGTTTTGCAATCAAGACATACAAGTGTCTGCCAGTTTCTGAAGGATATGATCCTTAAGTGAAATTACTGTGCAAATAAAAGCTTTTTGCTCCTATTAAAATTCGTCTGAGTCATAAGTGGCAAGGAAAAAAAGCTTGCAGAGTGCATTCTGCTGTCAATCTAATAAACATTCTGTGCAGAGGGACTATTTATCAAAGATAAATTGTACTTAAAAGTCCTTCATTAAATCTATGGGGGGGAATATAATTACACCAAATTGCACAGTTTCAGTATCCATGGTTAGTGTTGTCTTTGTACTCATAGTTTGAAAATAATAAAAAAAATTCTAGCTCTTGGAAGAAAACAAAAATAAAGTTAGCTTTCTGGACTGGTACTACCGTATGGTACAAGAAATTACTTGGATAAGGTTTTAAAAGGTTATGCCTACCTTCTATTTAGTTTCCTAAGCTATGTATGGGCCTACCTTTCTATGCTGCCCAACCTCTAAATTTAAACTTCAAATCCAGAATAATACAATTGGATTTCTAGGAAGAAATTGAATTATCCAGTTTCCGACACAGTGAGGTTCAAGTACTTAAACTAATTCCTCATTTATAGCGCAACTTGCAGCTGGGGAAAAAAGTATTGCCAGTGTGTTGTCTTTTAAAGTTCAGGTCTCCATATCAAGTTATGATATCCCTACCAAACTCTCTGTTTTTACTATCTTTATAAATTTCATATCTTTTAGATTCCTTTCTCTGCAGGACTCCTGCTTTGCTTGGAATGAGATGTAAGAGTCAGTAAACTGAAAGCTTTCAAATGTAGGTCTTTGTTATTGATGAGCTGTTCTTTTCCCTTTTGTATTTGTTTATTGTTCTTTAGTCTTTTGGGGGGGATAAGCGAGTTATTGTAATCAAAAAGTAAAAAATAACAACAGTAAACTTTTTAGGAAAGGGTTTTTCGGCACAGTTGGCTCACAAATGACCTTTTGGAATATAAAAAGACAAAGCAGTAGAAAGAAGGTTCCTTCTTTAAGATTATCTTTGATGTATTTATACTGTTGACTGGACTGATTAAATACCCACATAGCATTCTTTTGTAAAGCTATTTCTTAGCTCCCAGAAACAGTGTTACAGTGGGGGTGGCAGCGAGTAGCTGACCTAAATGGAAACACTAAGTGTAGTTTGATAAGAACAGCAAACGCCTTTGGAAAAATTAAAGTAATCTAACAATGTTTCTAAAACAGAAAGAAATTGAAAATATACAAGGTGCCCTCATCATGTAATTACTACTGCACCTCTGCTTTCCAGACCTCAGACAACTCTGAAATCTGGAGTTTTCAGATCTTACTTATGGAGAGTGTTAGGAATTGGGCGGGGGGAGGGAGGAGGGAAGGAGAAATCAGGGATATAAAGTGGGGAAGGTCGCAGAAGTTAGCATTACAAGCAGAGACCAAAAGGTTTCCATTGGCCTAAAACAGAAGAAACATCTGCTGGAGTCATAAATAGATTGTGGGTGAACTTTAGCAGCAAAGAAGTCTGCCACTAGTAAGATTTGAGCTCATCAGTAGTTGTCACTGGTCAGAGCTCAACTCTACAGGATTTCAGAGGGTAATTCTGCCAGCCAAAGTAAAGTTAATAAAAAAGTACCTGAATGGAGCCATGCAGCATCTGGTGGGGTAGAAAACAGGTGTTTCTTTTTCATGGGACTGTTGTGTGTCTACGATCAGTGGGCAAAAATAATGATAGGGAAAGGGGATGCCAGTTAATAGCCTGCTTAGGGTAACAGTACACTACCCTAGGTCTCTCAGTAAATGAATATTACACTGTATATAATGCAAAACCACTTCTCAAAACTAAATCTCTGTGACAAGAGAAAAGGGTGTAATAATAGCAGATGTGAAGGGATAAGAAGATAAAAAAAGAGAAAATGGCAAAGACAAGACAATACATAGAAAATAAAATAAAACAAAACAAAACAGAACAACATTGTGAAAATCTCCTGGGCAGGATATACAGCAAGTAAAAGGGAAAAAATAGGCAACCAACTGGAGTTAAAAGATGGCTGAGAACATAAATTAATCACCTCTTCACTTAAAGAGAAGATCTGTTGACTGTACAGGTTATCTTGCCAGGTATGATAAAATATAATATGCCCTAAGCATGGTGCTCAAGCTGCATCCTGTTATTTTTTGCATTGTTTATTAAATACGATCTTCCCTACATACCTTAAACTTATGTCTTTGGGAGCTGTCAATATTCAAACTCCACTGGAGACTTCATACAGCGGTCTAACATACCAATATACACATGTAAGTTATGGAGCTGTGTGGATTGCTGACCAGATATGGATGTATAGTATGATTTACATTAGGTTTAGCTATGTTTTCAAAGCCTCTGCCATTCCTGTGGTAGGAATACATGCTAAAAATCCTATGTTGCCCAGGATCCACCAAAAAACTGTCTGCTATGAATCGTAAGCATTGTCAATAAACTTACAAATCAGTTTCTGAATTAATAAAATTTATTAACTGCAGTGATGTAATTTTCCTTTAACATTTCTAATTTGTTTCCTTCTCAGTTTCAAGTCACTTAGCTGATGTCAATTGAAGTTTGGTCATCACAGCCCCATCAGTAATAGTTATTCAGTATTTATGCGAGTCGGTAGCAAGCAATGCTTCTTTGTTGAACTGCTATCAGCACATTGTCTTTTTCACTAATTCTCTGTCCATTTCAAAGTAGTGATCATAACCTTGTTTATATTTTCATGACAATATTTAAACTGGAAAACTCATATTCATTCCATACTACTTCCAAGTTGTCATCATCATCATCTTTTTGAGTTAAGCACTTCTCACTCAACAAAGAGACTTAAAATATTTCTTGAAACACAGGGACTGAGTTCTCTGTTCTGGAGCTGATTTACTTCCACAGTGTGGCAGTGAGGACTAACATTAAGATCTCCACATAAACAACGGCAGCCCTAAGCAAGTGCAGGAGCAAACACTCAACATGCTACAAAATGACATGGTGAAAAATGAATAGCCACAAAAATCACGAGTCTTTAACCACAGCAACAGGGAAAGGGG